CAAATACAGGGCTATTGAAGCCTTTGGGGTCGCTGCAGTTTTCAATGATACCTTCATCAGCCATACGCTTAATTTCGGTATCTACGTCTGCTTCCAAAGCCTGGGCGATTGGGTGTTGTTTCTGGCTGCGAGACTGGCCGTTGGTATGCGGATGGGTCGGATGAATGTGCCTTTGCTGCTGCTTTCTGTGCCGATAATGTCAGCGTAGCGAATGAGTAAATTTGCAGTGGCCTCTAGTTCGTCTCGGTTCGGGTGGTTTGGTAGCGATAGTCCCGTGTTGTGTATTAGCCAGGTTAGCTTTTGATCCAGTGTCTGGATGTTGGGCGGTAGTTCCATAGTAGGCTGGTTTTGGATGATGTCAGCTTGGGTGCCATATGCTGGATCGTTGGTTGACGATGACGGTGATATGATTGTGGCTGTGTGTGTTGTATATCCTGAGGAAAGTGTGCATCTGAATTCTATAGTCGCATTTTGGTTGTCGATTAGATAGGAATCAAGCGTGTTGTGACGTAGGATATTTTGGCCGATCAGGATTGGTGTGGTTTGGGTAGTTACCAGCACATTAACCTTTTTGAATGTGGGTGAGTCTCGGCTACCGATGGTGATGTCGCAAGTCAGTTCGCCGAGGGCGGTGGTGCTGCCGTTGATTCCTTTTACTACGACGTCGGAGCGGGTCATGAGTTTCTTGGCTTCTCTAGGTAACCGAGATATTGGTACGATGCAGGTGGAGCATCCAGAGTCTAGCATTGCGATGCCAGAGAAGGTGATGTCCCTGAAGTTGAAGGTGGACTGGACGAGCGGTGAATGGTGAGCAAGTCCTTGAAAGTTGAAGGTGTGATGGCTGACATAGGGGCATGGCGAACGAGGCGTCACATTTCGTCCTGCCCGAAGCGCAAATCCTGTTCCACATCATTTATGGGTTGTATATTATCATTCGTTGCGGCGATATGGGCCTGTGCCTGAGTGCGAGGTGGGTGGCGATATATGCAGTTGCGTCCATGGTGGCAGGGGCGACCTCTGAGGTAGTTATTGCACACGCTGATTCGTGGTGTGTGCTGATGTTTTCTGCGTGTCGGATGGTGGCCATGTTCGGGAGGGTTGGTGAGGCCCGTCTGCTGTGGGTTTGGTTGCCTGCTGGGTCAGAGTGGCGCGTTTCTTTGGTTTGACCGCTGTGGTTTCTATGTGAAATATACAGTGTCGTGTGAAGTTGTGTCGTTGGATTTTACACTGCGATCAAGGTATATTTGAGCTTCGGAGGCTATGCCAATGGCTGAATAGTGGTTGTCCATTGTCTTGACGAGATGTGGGTAGAGATTTGAGTTCCAAATTTTCACCTTTTCGCTCATTAGCATAGCGCCGATGATGGAAATAAGTCCATCGACTGTTAAGTCTGTATTTTTGTCTTTTTTGTATTTGTTTTTTATGTGGACGGCTGCCTCCCTAAGGGTGTTTTCGAGTCGACCTGCGAAGTCTGTTAATTTTTCGCCGTCTCGCCATTCCAGGTCCTAGGCTTGACTGAGGTGTTGGAAGTTAGTCATCTGGCTTCCGTGGGCTCCTAATAAGTATTCCTTCAGTTGTTCGAAGGTGGATATGTCCTTTTTTGAGTCAACCATTTGCTGAAAAATACTTTGGTCCAGTAAATCTTTAGCAGACTTGATGAATTCGCATTCCAGGCTGGTATAGGTGCTGAGTTCTGGCGTGACGTGGATTGTGTATGCTTTGTTTAGGGCCGTGATGAATCGGTTCATGTCGTGTCCAGGGTGAAAAGTTTTCTCTAGCTTCAATGTGTCGCGTATAGTTTGTTGGCATATCATTAAGCTGTAATCGCCGTTTGTTTGAGTGGTGGGAGGTATTGAAGTAGTTTTTAGGGCAGTCAGCATGTCGTTTATGTGGGCTTGAATTTCCTGTATCGTGGCTTCAGAAGGCTGTGTTGGTCCCGTTTTCAAGTTGAATAGTAGTGTTTTCTGTTCCTTGATGTGAGTAAATAGTTCGGCTCAGGTGAAGCTCGTGTAGTCGGCCATATTTCTCTTGCTGTACGCTTCTGACACCAGTGTTATAGACAAGCGTATGGTTGCAAGAAAGAAATACGACAACAGTAGAAATAGATTTACGTGGTTTATTTCAACAGGAACGTAAGGGTTTAGGACAGCTACCTTGGTGTGGTAAAGTTCATAAGCCGGCTTTCGGATCTTGGTCAATCTCTCATAGTAGTTCACACATGTTGACGGTGGTTGACGCTCTCCTGCTGACAGCTGCTAAACGTGACTGGTCTCCCTTGTGGCCACCTGTTGACTGCTGCTGAACTTCCCTGTGACCCCTTTTATAGCGTTTTTTATGGCTTAACAGGCTCGAGAAACGAAGCGAGTATAATTAGGAGGGAAGCATTTTTATTGGACGAAAAATAGAGCGCTTTAATTATTATTTTATTTTTCGACCGGAACACGTGTGTCGGAAACATTTGTAAAGAAAGTTAATGGTCATTTTGTGACGGGGCTTTGTCCCGTTCACATCCTGTTCTCGCTCTTGAGTATTTGCCTGTAAATCAGCCGAGATATGTTATTTTATTTTATAACACATTATAACTCGATTTGTATTTACTTTATGGTCACATGTTTCACCATTGTCTTAAGTTGTAGTTGTTTTGATAAATTTTCAATAAATTTACAACATAAAGTGTCAAATATTATGGTGGTTTACTTATTTGAGTAAAAAGTCAATCAAAATTTTAAATATTACCATCATTAATAAAAAAAGATCAATTAGCTTTTTATTTTATTTGTGTGTGTGTGTGTGATTCATGGAAAATTACAGACAAAATATTTAAACAGTAATTTTATATGGCACATGATGTTTGGCTTAGAGATGTTTCTGAATACAGACTCCTAATGGTGTGGGGGATTATATTTCAGTTGCTGTGCCATTTTAAATGTAAACTGCTGTCAAAACCTGTTACATTTCCTTTAAATTCAGCTCCATTGATTGTATCTACTTTGAAATTTGTACTAGTGTATCAAATTTGTTTCAGTGAAATTTGAGGAAACATTTTGAAGCTGTTTTCCTATTCTGAATGCTTCAATAATTGTGTGCAATGATGGCTATTTTTTATTTGTTTTTTGAAGCATACAGCAAACATTTGCTTAAGATCAATTTTCTTTCTGATGTGAATACTTTGTGTCAATATGATAATGAAGGCTGAAAACTACTTTCTTTCTATCTTCACATTGAACTGAAAACGTTTGCAGTCATTTTATGCTTAGAACTTCTTCATCAATCAAATTTATGCCATATTTGATGGTATGCAAAACCTCTATCATTTTTTTATTTCCAAAAAACATTTGCATTTCATGTGCAAAGTTGTTGCAGGCTAATGTTTACTCTAGCCCCATAGACTAGCAGCATTTTTAACTAACCAAGCTTCATCATACAACAATACAAATGTAAATGAGTCATATATGCCATCAGAAATTGAATTTTTTTTTTTTTAATCAATGTATGCATTTTATATTATATACATATACTTATTGAATTTAATGTTCTAATATGATGATAATGAGTTAATTCCCTTTGGCAAAATGGCATTTTGGAAAAAGTAGATACAGTGACACCTGTATTTTTCCAAAATGGCATTTTGGAAAAAGTAGATACAGTGACACCTGTATTTTTCCAAAATGGCATTTTGGAAAAATACAGGTGTCACTGCTAAGTTATTTGTATGGGAATAGTTATAAGATTATGATTGGTCAATCTGTGTGTGTGTGTGTGCCTTCCTTCGTTTCATCCATCCATCAACAAATCATATGTCAACACAGTTGTAGGCTAACTGCAGTTGAGATTATAATCATAGGGAACTACATCATCTTGTCATTGGCTGTATATTATGTGTTAAAACTGGGTTACATATGATTTTGAATTCAAAGTTGTCCTTCTCATAGACTGGTTGCCATTTATGGCTAGAGAGCCCAGATTACTCTCCTCTTTAACCCATAGCTGAGAGGAGATGAATTCATAACTTTCCCAAGAGTATTTGTGCAAAAGTGAATGTAATGAACTTGGCTGAAATTTGAACTTGGCTGAAATTTGAACTTGGCCCATCGATTTCGTGTTATGAGCTGCTAACCACTACACCACCTGCATATCTGTATTCTTACATATTTATTTTTTCTCTCTTGTGGATTCTGTAGATATAAGTGCAATGTCATATTTTGAATATAAATAAGTGTTTACATACATATATCTATTTTATCAAAAATGTATAAATGCTGTGGAATATTTTTTATTTTATTTAGCCTAGAAGTCATTGTTTGAATGGACTTTAGGCTAACTCTTGCTTCGACCATTTACCTTCTGCGTCCTTTGTACATAAGTTATAAGAATTTAGAAATAATAAAATTATTTTATCTTTTATTCCACACCTTAATTCTACATAATCTTACTTTGCAACCGATCTCTGTAGTTTGCTTACATTTATTTTGTTTGGAATTTTTCTTTTCTTTTAAATTCACCATTCTTTATGATCCTTTCGCATAAAGTCACTCTTAAGACATTAGTGAATCAAAACTATGTAATATTTCAAATGTGTCACAGTACACCTGCTAGAAAAAAAAAAAAAACATACCAATGTACCATACTTTGCTTAAGTTTTAATTATGGTTTAATTAGATGATATTAATTGCAATTTTGATGAAAAGGGAAATTAAAATTAAACCTTTCACTCTATTTGATATTTAAATTAACTTTAAAGGAGTTATTTATTTAATTTTTAATCATGTGTAACTACTGTAGTTACTGCTTGTTACTTCAGTTTGTTTATGATTAACTAAGATTGAAAAACGCATGGACACACGTACACTGCACTCTATAAATAAAATGTAGTGTACATGTGTCTATCCGTTAGAATTTTGGATGCTAATAAAAATGTTGTTATTAAACTATAAAGTTTATATTATTTCCCTTTAACTAAGAATTTCTCTGTAAATGACTTTTGTATTTCATTCTTTTAGGGACCAGTTCTTGGTTGGTTGAATGCCATTGAAGCTTTTTGCAGTACAAAAACTGAAATTCCGATTAACCTGAAGGTAAACATTTTTTTTTTTTTTATTACTTCATAAATGTTTTCAACAAAAATACATTTTTTTTTTTTTTTTTTTTTTTTTTTTTTTAAAGATTAAATTTTTGACAAAAAGAAAGAAAAAGTAAATTCTTTGTGTGTCTGTATATAAATATATATATATATATATATATATATTGCATCGATCATTGCATTCAATGAGCTGCTTTTATGTGACTTTTTAGTCCAGCTAAAGACAGGCATTCTTTGCCAGACATGAACACCTCTGGCAACAGTTCCTGCAACGTTGTTGCCATGTATTTTAATATGTTGTTTTAATCCTGCTGCACTTTTCCACAGTTGGGATGTGACACAGATAACATAACAGTACATAAAATTATTTTTTCATATCAAGTATAAATATGTATATTACCAGGTCACATTTTTTTTTTTTTTTAAATTTTATATTTAAATGTTATTTAAGTAAAATTTATAATATAAAAATCAAACATCTCTCTCGAAATACTTCTGGCACCTAAAAGAATCCAATAAAACACCTACAGTAAAATGGAAGTTAATAAGAAAAGCTAGAATATGTAGGTCATTAAACGACCCATGTCCTTTGTGCATACATGAGAAACTATATATTACTAAGTTTATAAAAAATAAAAATTTACTGAATCAGAGAAATGAAATAGCTATTTTGTGCCGTCATTGTCAAAAATTTTCCTTAAATAATATTTAAAAATAAAATTAAAAAGGGCGACCTGGTAATATACATACTTATATTAGATGTGAAAAAATAATTTTATATACTGTAAGAAATTCTATTACATTTACTTGTTTTATATAAAAAAAAAAAAAAATTGTCTATTAAAAGTGAAAATATTTAAAATTGTTTTTAAAAATTGTAGTTGAGGATGAAATGGAACTAATGTCTTTAATTTAATTACAAAATTAAATTCGAAGCTTTTAGCTTCCATTTTTGAAACATGGTTAGAACTGTGTAGTGAAAACAACCATATTTTAAATCAGTTAATTTATATAATCGACTCTCCCGTCGCGTTCGACGTATGAGGGTCAGACCGATAAGTCCCCAGGAAACCGACGTCCCGACACCGGCACATGAGATTTGTTTATAGTGGTGAAGGCCTTGTGCAGGACCAGCCACACTTTTTGGAGGGACGAATACAGAAACCTGGTGCAATCAATGCATGCCACAAGGTTCCCAAACGACCCTCCCAGGTTTTGAATTCAGAGTTGTCCTTCTCCTAGACCAGTTGCCATCCAAGGCTATAGAACCCAGTCTGTCCTGCTATTTTACCCATAGCTGGAGGGAGATGAAGAGGATACATACCTTTCCCAAGGGTATTAGCACGTAAGTGAATGCAGTGGATTCGACTGGAACGGTGGAGGCACGGTGGAGCAGTGGTTAGCGGCTTGGATTGAGGAATCGCAGAGCCGAGTTATATATATATATATATATATATATATACACACACAAACTAAAATCCTAATCTTATTGAACAAATAGAAAATCATCAATCCTGTGTCTGGCTAGTTTCCTTCATATACCTATGTTGAAAGCCAGAAATGTATTTGTTTATGTATAGTGTGTTCTTGGTGGAGCCTATCCCTCTCTAGATCAAATCACAGCTTATGTAAAATTTGAAGCCTTGATCATGGACATGTTGCTGTATTCTGTCCAGGGAACCCTAATGTCTTGGCTCTTGTCTTCAGTTTAGGAAGCCCTCTACTCAGCATTGATGAGTTGTCACTGCACTACATAGCTATGGAGCCTAGTCTACCCCACTGAACTAAATGGCTGTTAACCCTACAAGAAGGTTTATCCACCCTTTGACAGGTATTATCTTTAATCCTATTGGCTCTCTAGCTGCCCTCCTCACCAGAAAACCCATGTGGGTGAACCGGTTTAGTTGCCAATGACCCAATCATTATTATTACTAAAAATAAAGTACCAATATGAGTTTTTTTTTCTTTTGTAACTAAGAGATTAATGAGTGAGATAAGTGCAAAACATTTTTCTTAGGGCAGAAAAGAATTCAGGGACAGTGCAATTATTTTGCTTGTCAGTTTTATGTTTTTTATCAAACTATTTCATCAGCAAAAAATTATTATTCATATATAAGGAATATTTTTTTTTTTTTTTTACTTTCTAGAAAAAATAATTTATAAATGAAAGCAAACTAAAAATAAAAGCCTAATTTTGAATTAAGAAAAAAAAACTGAATGAAAAAATGTTATAGTTAAAAACCATTTATAACTCATATCTGACTGATATGAATCATGAAATTTAAATTCATATTTCTTTATTTTGTTTATTTGGCCTTTCTTTGCTTGTGGCCTTTTTACTTCCTGTTGTAAAAATTTATGAATTTAAAATTCTCTATCTGAACTGGATTAATGAAATTTCATACTCTGATCAATTTAATAAACAATTTCAAAAACCATTATGAGAAAAAACATTTTTGTTAATGATTTTTTTTTACTACAGATTTAACTTTTTTTCCTAGTTTTATATTAAGAATTGTAATTTAAAAATAACAAATTGAGACTGATTATATTTTTGTTTATTTCTTTTTAGTTTATTTTTGAAGGCATGGAAGAAAGTAATTCTACAGGTTTGGATGAAATGATTATGGCAAGGAAAGAGACATTTTTGAAGGTGAGATTTCAAAATTTTGTTATTAAAATAACTTTGGTAAGTAAAAAAAAATTTAACATTTTAAAAACTGTTGGAATAAGTATTTATTTTTGTGATAAGATTCCTCTAATTGAAGTTTTACTGTTTTGTCTTACCAAATTAAAATTTGAATAAATTAATATATTAGTTATATTTTTTCTGTTTTTAACAGCATTTTTAAGCTGATATTAAATCACAAACAAAAGTAAGAAACAAACCAAAAGTTAAAAGGTTGAATCTTTAAAAAAATTTAAATATCAATTTTTCATCAAGTGAAGAAAGGATATACAAAAAAAATAAAATAAAATAAATTTTTGTGTTTACTGACCAAATATGATAAAATGATGATCATCAATCCTATGTCTGGGTGTGGTTATAGGGTCACTGTGCAGTTAAGCACTTGGCCAGTTCCTACCACATACCTACATTGAAAACCAGAAATGTATTTATATATAGTGTTTTTTTTTTTTTTTTTTTTGGGGGGGGGAGTAAGTAGACCTTGTGAAGCCCATCCTTTTCTAGGTCAAATCACAGCTTATGTCCAACTTGAAGGTTTACCTTGGTCATGGTTAAATGTAAAACAAAATCTGTTCTAAATTGGCAGTAACTGATGAAAATGCTTAAATAAAACACAGTGGATTCTGCTTTTTTTTTTTTAATTTTTAATCATTTCATCCTTAGTAAAGCAATAAAGCCACTTAAACGAGTGAAAGTATAAGAGAAAAAGAAAAACATTATTAAGGAAAGAATAATTCAGGCAAAAGATAATGGTTGACATTGCATTTAAATTTTTTTAAAGATCAAAGTTGACTGGAAAGTAAGAAGCCAGAATAGAGATCCACAAACAAGAAGTAAGAGAGAAGAAACTGTTAGCATACGACTTAGGTTTTATCATTTTACAGTTGAAATGACTATCTGCCAATCTAGTACTGCACTTAAATTCGTAAAGTCTAGGTACCAAATTGGAAAACTCATCAGAATAATTACCATGAAAATATTTATAGAAAAGACCAGGGAAGCAATGTTACAGTTTTGGGAAAGTAACTGAAGCTGAGATACCAGGTCAGAACTAATAACATTGCAGATTCTTTGGATTTTATCAAGAATCTCTAAATGCATAGAAGCACCAGAGCAGATGTGGCAGCAATATTCAATGCATGGATTAATGGTAGGCTTTTAAATGTGTAAAATATATTCTGGCAAGAAAATGTGTCTAGCATGACACTGAACCTAATATTTCCTAAAATAAGTGGAACATGTTGAGATCACAAATTTAAGTCTCTAAGTATTGGATTCTTTTTGTCCAATAGTTGGTCCTACTAATTTATCTATTTCTTGTAACTGATATGCCATTTAAACAGAATTTGTTGTACTGGGAAGTAAAGATTTGAAAATGTATCTGTAGACAGGCTTTCATTATGTCTTGAGATTTTTTGATGAAATGAGACATTTTGAATTCTTGATTTACAATGCCAAATTTGTCAGAATTCCAAAGAAACAGCGTTTCCTCATAAATAAATTTTATTTTATTTATATAAACCTATTATAATATTTGACTGCCTCAAATCTATACATTGCATGTATATTTGAACTAGCATCATGGCCCAGCATTGCCCATGCTTGATTCAAAAATCGTATGACTCATACAGCAATCGCTATCACTTGACTTAAAATACTTTTGCCCTTCCTTGCCTTTAAATGAGTGCCCTTTGCCATGCTGATGTTGCTACATGCCTTACTTCTTGCCTATCTCACACTGCTAATTTTTTCTAAGCTCTATACTAAACATTAAATCTGTTACGAAAAAAGAACTAAACAAATGAACACAAAACGATCAGCTTTAAAAAAAAAGGACTCGTAACTGGAAAAACCGAATGAAAAAGAATGTTAACAACAAATACTTTTTCATGCCCAACCCAGTTCTGCGGAATCAGAATCAATATTGAGTTTAAGCAAGTTTAATGAGCCAATTGGAGTAATGTGCCATGCAGATTTAAATTTTTTGTTTAATGCAGTTATCGATTTTTTTTTTTTTTTTTTTTTTTTTTGCATGCTAGTTAACATTGTGTCAGTCAGCTGTTGGCTCTCACATTGGCCAATAGAATCTTCCTGCCTATTCGTGGCAGCCAGCTATTGGCTTGCACTCTGGCCAGTAGAAAATGGCTGCAAACTACATGAAAACTGCTGTAGAAGCATGAAAAAATCGATTATTTCCACTATCGATGGGAGTTGGGAAATGCAAAGTCAGTCTTGGCCTTCCCGCTATCTTGGAGCATGTGCATGTAAATTTTGGTGAAAATCCGTTGAAAATTGCGTCCGTGCATTCGTTACACACACACAAACACATCCTGCCTTTTATACACACACACACACACACACACACACACACACACACACACACACCCTGCCTTTTATAGGTAGAGATGATAAATATAGTTGTCTGAATAAATGACAAGTTGGATAGCAACAAAGGTTTTTGTTTTATTTCCTCATCTTGTGTCATGATGACCTATTTGCATTTATATTGTCATAACTGGGATGTTGTAAATAAATATTGATAAAATCTGACAGTAATTGCTATAAATGAAACCACAATATCTAAAAACCACTGCCAGGTTGATTGACATGACCAACTTCTCTTTTTTTCACTGATATTCACTCGTTTATTTATTGGTTCATATCGGAAAATATTCAAAAAAAATATTCAAGAAAATGTTAAGCTAGTTTTTAATGCTGCCATTAAATTTTAATTTTTTTTTTAATATTTAGTCATACTGTATACACAATTAGTTGATTATCTAGAATTCTAAAATTACCAATTTGATTTACTTTTCAATAATATCTTCTCTTCCTCCTTAATGGCAATAGACTCTCCAGTGGGCAATAGGCCCACAACCTCACCACACTAAGTGTTGCTGCTGGGGTTTCTAAAGCATGTAAGTTTTTTATGGGGTGGAGTTGCCAGCACCCCCTCCACCTAACTAGTTTTTAATTCAGAGTTATCCTTCTCCTAGATGAATTGCCAAGGCTATCTAGCCTAGTCTACTCTACTATTTAAACCATATTTGGAAGAAGAAGAAATGAAGGATATTTGTGTGAAAGTAAAGGCAATTCCACTTGCCACACTATTAAATAATCAACATAGTGATTATTTGATATTAAATTTTCATAGAATTAGTCCTGGTACATGTACAATACTTCCTTAATTATCTGGACAATTGGGACAGGGATTGGAAAAATATTTAATTATTTTTCTCATATTTTCTCTAACACCTTGCGGGATAGTGACTTTATAGACTTGCTGGAGTTGAAATGGAAAAAAATCAATTTCAGCCAATTGAAAACCTAAACTATCAAAAAATAATGAAGTCATTTTCAGAAAGAAATTTAACATTTATATCATGAAATATCATTTTCAAATACGTTGTTAAAGGTTTTGTTCAAAGTTAGGATGCTTGTCTCTGTTGGTAGTTACATAATTAAAACAAAGAAAAAAAATTGTAATTCCAACAAATGATTTATTTTTTTATGGAAATATTTTGGCTAGCAGTTGCCAGTCTTGCTGACTCCTTAATTTGAGTAAAACAGTACAAAGAAGTTCGACGTGCTTAAGAATTTAAATCAAGGAAAACAAACCAAGTTGATGATGTTTACAACGTAATAACAAGTCGAGGCATAAAAAAAATAAATCATTCATTGGAATTACAAGTTTTTTTTTTCTTTGTTTTAATTATGCAACTAACAGAGATAAGCATCCTAACATTGATACGAATAAGGCATAAAAAGTATGTCAATGATTTGATTCGAACAGGAAAAAGAGAAGCAAGATTCTGCAACCATAGAGTTTTCATTTTGTGTTGCATGAAAGAATGCATCATTCTGACATGTTGTAAAGTTCGCTTAGTAGGAAACAATCCATAGCTTAAAGATTTAATTGATCATACTGAGAAAAAAGCTCTTGGATGCCATTTTCGCGAAATCTCTCATCAGTTTGCCAACATATGAAGTGGAAAAATTGGCAGTTTATTAAATCAAAAACAATTCAATTATGAAAATTTTCTAATTTTTTAAAAAAAGCAAAAGGCAATCCAGCACCAGAAATGATGAATTGTGTTTTGAACATATCAGATTGACAGTCCATGCAGAAGTCAATGTTCTCTCAAAGGGAATGAATTTTAATGTTTCATTGAAAAAAAATTTCTCCTATTGAATTCTTACTTCAGATTGAAGAAGCTCTGCAACAAGTGGATTCGGAAAAGGCTGAAAATGCAAGATATCAAATTGCGAGGTTATTGCAAGAGAGAAAACCATTTAAGCCAAATATAACCAGATAGCAGCAAAAGGCAATTAAAGATCTTTGTTCAGATGAATCCATTACAATCTCAAAAGCAGATAAAGGCAATACGACAGTTGGTTGTGATGAACAAACAGGATTATATCCTTAAAATAGAAAGGCATCTTAAAGATGGACCATATAAAGAAATTAACAAGAGATCGTCAACTACCATGAATGTGATGAAAAAGAACTGTTGCATTGAGTTAACAAAGCTGAAAAGGGAAAAATAGACTGGGCGAATTGACATGGTTCATTATAAAACTGAAAAACATTAAATGCCAAAGGATGTATGGAAAAATCAAAATCCATAAAGATGGTTTCCCAATTCGTCCAATCATAGATTTCATAGATTCACCGATTTATAATTTGGCGAAATTTCTATCAAACTTACTTAAGCCACTATACGGCCAGATAATTCATCATATATCAAAAACTCAGGATTTTGTTGAAGCTGAAACCTATGAAAATAGAAGAAAATGAAATTATAAGTTTTGATATCAGCTCTCTTTTCACAAATGTTCCTAGAGAAGAAGCACTTAGAATTGTGCTTAACAAACTGTCTAACAATGCAGCACTATCTGAACGAACTAGCCTTACTGCAACTGACAGAATGTTGCTAGTAAACTATTCATAAAAAAATTACATC